GACGTGGCTCTGTCCTGGAGAGTCCCAGGACGAGAGGCTGGAGGATGGCGAGGGCGTGCGGGACCCGGAGTTGACTGAGGGCGTGGATGTGCACCAGTCGGATCCAGATGGGCGACGCCTGGTCCTGAAATGGGCGGCGAGGGTGAAGGGAGGGGGAGTGTGGGGGGGGGCATGTGAAGGTGGACAAACAGAGGGTGAAGGGACGAGTGAGGATGGTGGGAAGCAAGGAGAACGAATGAAGAAAAATGAACTAGGAAAGGAAATGATGAATGAAAGAAATGGACCATGAAAATTGTAGATATATAAGTAGCAAGGTGAGTAGGAAGCGGCATGCACACACACACACACAAACACACACACACACATATATACGTGTATAAATATATTTGTATATATGTGTATACACACACACAGATATATAAATATATATATATATATATATATATAATATATTATATATTATATATATATATATATATATATATATATATATTACACACACACACACGCACACACATAAATATATATACATATTTGTATACATATATATATATATATATATATATATATATATATATATATATATATATATATAGAGAGAGAGAGAGAGAGAGAGAGAGAGAGAGAGAGAGAGAGAGAGAGAGAGAGAGAGAGATAGAGAGAGAGAGAGAGAGAGAGAGAGAGAGAGAGAGAGAGAGAGAGAGAGAGAGGAGAGAGAGAGAGAGAGAGAGAGAGAGCGAGCGAGAGAGGGACCTTACCACGATGCCCTGCTCCAGATAAGGCAGGAATTCCTCCAGGATGAGCCGCGGTGCGCACGCGCGCGCGGGGTCGCACTCCGCCTCGCCGTGGGCCTCCGCCTTCCGCGCGTCCAGGCACAGCGCGCGAGCCAGTTTGGCGAAATCGATCATGGCAACACTTTTGGCGTCTCTGTCCTTCCGCGACCAGGTTAAGGATTTGACGAACTCCTGCAGTTATTGGTAACATTTACAGTTAATATTGATTTCGCTCATGTAATTATTCTGTTAAATACCATAAGAGAGAGGAATTAGCACTCTGACCACATCTGCCATACCTTTATACACATGCACACACTGTATCTTCTCTTTTTGTTTCTTTCGTATCATGTGTCATGACCGTTGCATATAAAAAGTGCTCAGATTTATTGGTTTCAGAACCATCTATACAGTAAACATGCTTATAAACAAGGCATGATCCCTATAGAGTACGTAATCGATGTCGAATTTCATGATATACATGACAAACACTGTACTTCAGCTGTCCGTCAACATATCAACCGAACATCTGCTGTGACCGCCTTTAACTTTATTTATGTGTGTGTGTGTGTGTGTGTGTGTGTGTGTGTGTGTGTGTGTATGTGTGTGTGTGTGTGTGTGTGTGTGTGTGTGTGTGTGTGTGTGTGTGTGTGTGTGTGTGTGTGTGTGTGTGTGTGTGTGTGTGTGTGTATGTGTGCTTTCTTGCTCGCAATCCCTGCCCCGCTCACCAAGATCTGCGGCATAAGCGTGGGCGTCTTGAGGGTCACGGCCAGTTGAGCGAAGAGGCGCTGGCTGGTTCCCTCCGACGTCGGGAGTGACTCGTCCTTGAGGGTGTTTAAGATCAGATTCAGGGCCGGTTCTGTCCCTGCGGATATCAGCGCCTGCTGGAAGACGGTGCTGGAAAAAGAGACGCTTAAAAAGTGGGAATATATATAGGAAACAAATGAATAAATTGTTCTTCCCGTTATCATCACTCACGAACGAGTAAACAGAGCATATCCATCCAACAGAATTCCTCACATCTTCCAGAGATTGACATTGACCAAATCAAATCCGGAATGGCCGTCGACCGCCTCCACCAGCTCCCTCCCCAGCCGAGTGAACACCAGGTTCAAGTCTTCGTAGCTGAGGCAAGAAACGGCTTCCACGAGTCCAGTGTACTGCTTCATCAGCGGGAAACCTCGATGCTCGCCGCCGGTCGCTCTCTGGGACAGGTCTCCGAGCTCCGCCAAGATGTATGCCTGCGCGAGAAAGGTGTTCGCTGGAGACGTCGTGGTGTGTGGCGCGAAGGATCAGCTATCCAAAGAAGGGTTTAAGAGAAAAAAAAGATAGAAAAAGAAAAAGATAGATAGAGAAAGAAAGAGACAGAGAGTCAGAAATAAAGAACAGAAGGACGAGAAAGGAAATAAAGGAGTGATAAATGATCAGAGAGAGAGATAGATAGATAGAGAGAGAAACGACTGTGTAGTGGGAAGAATGAAGATAACTGACAGAACAGAATAATCTAAGGCTGAAAATAGATGAACAAAATGAGAGAGAGAAAAAATAAGAATTAAAAAATAATAGCGTTGTACCTTTTTCTCTTCGAGGGTTCGGTGGCTCAGATTCAGCCCAATAACGGCTTGTTCCACAGACGGGTAAGCATCGCCAGTCTAAAAGAAAATTAAAGAAGTACTTATTATTAGTAAAGAAGAAATGTGCTTTCATAAATTAGATTGGTAACATCAATAATCATTCTCGATTCTCTGCTGAAATATCAATCCTATTGTCTACCTCCGACGTAACCTCGTATCCTTTATCATTCTTTATTACCTGATACGCAGCTTCAAAATGCCATGGGCGAGGATGAACGTCTTGATCCACAGGTAGTTCTTCCGTTATCTTACGTACTGCCTTGAGTTCTATGGTCTGTAAGAAAGAGGTGGTGGTAAGATGTATCTCTCTCTTTCTCTCTTCCTCCCTCCCTCCCTCCTTCCGTCCCTCTCTTCCTCCTCTCCTCTCTCCCTCTTTCCCTCTCTCCCTCTCTCCCTCTTCTCTCTCCCACCCACTTTCTCCTCTCCCATCTCCTTCCCCTCTCTTTCTCTCGGAAACCCCGATCTCTCTCTCTCGAGAAATTTCACTCCATCTCCCGATTTGTCAGCGGTCTATCTAGCTGTCAAATGTCTGCAGTCATTTTCCTTATATATCCATGTGAACGATGAAGAGGGTAATCATGCTGTCAGCGGTCTATCTAGCTGTCAAATGTCTGCAGTCATTTTCCTGATGAGTATAATTACCAAAATGGTGATACTGAAGATGATGGTTAAATTAGCCCTCTTTTGAAAAATGGTAGAAATGACTATGGTATAATAAAAATCGCATCACTACTAGTGGTCATGTGAGGATATCTGCCACTATTACTAGGACAGCAAATACTATAGATGAAGCTAATATTGCTAATGTACTTCTAGTACTGTTGTCAAATCTAGTGTTACTATGTTGCTGAGAGAGGAGAAAGAAAAAACGAGAGATAGAATAAGCGAGAGAGAGAGATAGGTAGATAGATAGACAGATAAATACAGAGAGTGACAATAAGAAAGAGAAAAAGAGAAAAGAAAAGGGGGAAGGGGGAAGAGATAAACAGACAGACATATAGATATACAGATAGAAAGAAAGAGAGAGAGAGAGTCGCCATCTGCAATTCCCCAAGCCTGATCACGCCCGTCGAGGACCTGGTTCGTGAAGGTGTCGACGCTCTCCTCCTGGTCTGAGTTCGTGAAGGCGATGATGGAGCCCTCGACAAGCGCCCTCTCGATCCTGAGTTCCTCTTCGCCCCTGAGGATGTAAGTGGCCACCGAACTCCTGCTGAGGGACGTCTTGGTGTTCCTGTCGGCGTGAATCTGAAGGGGAGTCGAGAGCGGTGTTGTTAGTTTGTTTAAGGTCTCGCGGGAAAGTCTGGGGTTGGTCGGATTTCTGTCTATGTTTTGAGGGGAAAATAGGTGCATTACGTCAGATTTCTGCCTAAATTTTGAGGGGAAATAGGTGCATTACGTCAGATTTCAGCCTAAATTTTGGAGGAAAATAGGTGCATTACGTCAGATTTCAGCCTACATTTTGGAGGAAAATAGGTGCATTACGTCAGATTTCAGCCTACATTTTGGAGGAAATAGGTGCATTACGTCAGATTTCAGCCTACATTTTGGAGGAAAATAGGTGCATTACGTCAGATTTCAGCCTACATTTTGAGGAAAATAGGTGCATTACGTCAGATTTCAGCCTACATTTTGGAGGAAAATAGGTGCATTACGTCAGATTTCAGCCTACATTTTTGGAGGAAAATAGGTGCATTACGTCAGATTTCAGCCTACATTTTGGAGGAAAATAGGTGCATTACGTCAGATTTCAGCCTACATTTTGGAGGAAAATAGGTGCATTACGTCAGATTTCAGCCTACATTTTGGAGGAAAATAGGTGCATTACGTCAGATTTCAGCCTACATTTTGGAGGAAAATAGGTGCATTACGTCAGATTTCAGCCTACATTTTGGAGGAAAATAGGTGCATTACGTCAGATTTCACCCTACATTTTGGAGGAAAATAGGTGCATTACGTCTCAGCCTACATTTTGGAGGAAAATAGGTGCATTACGTCAGATTTCAGCCTACATTTTGGAGGAAAATAGGTGCATTACGTCAGATTTCAGCCTACATTTTTGGAGGAAAATAGGTGCATTACGTCAGATTTCAGCCTACATTTTGGAGGAAAATAGGTGCATTACGTCAGATTTCAGCCTATATTTTGAGGGGAAAATAGGTGCATTACGTCAGATTTCAGCCTATATTTTGTGCATTACGTCAGATTTCAGCCTATATTTTGAGGGGAAAATAGGTGCATTACGTCAGATTTCAGCCTATATTTTTGAGGGAAAAAGGTGCATTACGTCAGATTTCAGTCTGTATTTTTTGGAGGAAAATAGGTGCATTACGTCAGATTTCAGCCTATATTTTGGAGGAAAATAGGTGCATCACTTCAGATATCAGCCTATATTTTGGAGGAAAATAGGTGCATTACGTCAGATTTCAGCCTATATTTTGGGAGAAAAATAGGAGCATTACGTCAGATTTCAGCCTACATTACGTCAGATTTCAGCCTACATTTTGGAGGAAAATAGGAGTATTACGTCAAAGACTGACCTTAATATCCACCAAGCGTTGGCACTCGTCGAAGTTAATGGTTCGTGTGACTTTCCAGAGACTGTCATGAGAAGCGGACCCGTTTCCCGCTGGCGAGGGAGAAGTCTTCGAGAATCTTCGCCTCTTCGTGGGGGTTCCCTTGCGGGTTTTGGTGGGCGTTTTTGTCGATTTTTGGCTGAAAGGTACAAGGCAGGGGGCGTTGGTAGACAGAATAAAAGAAAGAAAGAAAAAAAAGTTTCAACAGCTTAGCCAGATTGTCAGTGCTTGTTCAAATACTAAAACAGGTGTTGTTAGAAAAAAAAAAAAAAAAAAAAAAAAAAAAAAAAAAAAAAAAAAAAAAAAATAACAGCTTAACCAGATTGCCAATGCTGTTGAAATACTAAACCAAAGTCGATGATCTATACGAGTCATTCATAATTACTAATAGATTTCTTTGATTTCTTAAACGGGAGATCAGTTTGGTTAGACATAGTCAGTATTTCATGTACATAAACATAGTCACGATTTAATGTAAGCTTTGATATGTCATGTCCCTTGTCTTTTTTTTTTTTTTTTTTTTTTTTTTTTTTTTTTTTTTGCGATATTCAGCACATAAAACCTCTTCCTTTAACTCGAGACGCATCCTCACCCAGGTGAAGGTGTTCCTCGCTGCTCATCCTCTCCTAAGACGGCTTCAAGGCGCTGGTTCTCGAGGACGGCTAAGTGTTGGGGAAGTTTTGTTGTAGAAAACCTGTGGAATAGATTGTAACTGTGCTTTTCATTTATTTTTTTCGCTGTAAAAAAAACTATGGGATAGATTTTAGCTGTGTTTTTTTCTTTTTTTTTCACTGTAGAAAACCTATGGGATAGGTTTTAGCTGTTTTTTTTTTCACTGTAGAAAACCTGTGGGATAGATTTTAACTGTTTTTTATTATTTCTTTCTTTTATCACTGTAGAAAACCTGTGATTTTTAACTGTTTTTATTATTATTTTTTTTTCACTGTAGAAAACCTGTGGGATAGATTTTAAGTGTTTTTTTTTATTATTTTTTCTTTTTTCAATAGTAGAAAACCTGTGGGATAGATTTTAACTGTCTTTTATTATTATTATTTTTTTTTTCACTGTAGAAAACCTGTGGGATAGATTTTAACTGTTTTTATTTTTTTTTCACTGTAGAAAACCTGGGGGATAGATTTTAACTGTTTTTTTATTATTTTTTTTCTTTTTTTTCACTGTAGAAAACCTGGGGGATAGATTTTAGCTGTGCTTTTCATATATATATTTTTTCTTTGTCTCAAATTTCACTGCTTTATCCTATTTTATAGTCTATTTCAGGTTGACTTTTTTTCCTTCTGTGTCAAAGTTTAGCTTCTTTTTCTTCTATTTATGCCTCGTCAATCTATTAAGTTATCCCTGTCTATTAAACTATCCATCTTTCAGGGAGTTTTGTGTGTGTGTGTGTGTGTGTGTGTGCATGAGTATCTATCTGTCTGCTTGTATGTCCTCTGTCTATCTGTCTCTCTCTATCTATCTCTCTCTCTCTCTTCCCATCCCTCCCCCCCTCTGACTCTGTCTCTGTCTGTCTCTCTTCTCTTTCTCTCTCTCTCTCTCTCTCTTCCCCTCCCTTCCCCCCCCCTCTCTCTGTCTGTCTGTCTGTCTGTCTCTCTCTCTCTCTCTCTCTCTCTCTCTCTCTCTCTCTCTCTTTCTCTCTCTCTCTCTTTTCCCTACCTCCCCCCCCTCTGACTCTGTCTCTGTCTGTCTTTCGTCTCTCTCTCTTCCTCTTCTCTTCCCTCCCTCCCCCCCCCTCTCTCTCTCTGTCTGTTTGTCTGTCTGCTGTCTGTCTCTCTCTCTCTCCTCCTCTCTCTCTCCCTCCCCTCCCTCCCCTCCCTCCCTCCTCCTCCCTCCCTCTCCCTCCCCTCCTCCCTCCCTCCTCTCCTCCCTTCTCCCTCCCTCCCTCTCTGTCCTCCCTCCCTCCTCCCTCCCCTCCTCCCTCCCTCCCTCCCTCCTCCTCCCTCCCTCCCTCCCTCCCTCCCTCCCTCCCTCCTCCCTCCCTCCCTCCCTCCTCCCCTCCCTCCCTCCCCCTCTCCTCGTATGAAACACACATTTACCGGTGTTTGCAACGTCCAACGATCGTGTCGCTGTAAGCACTGAAGACAGGTCTCACTCACGAACTGTCTGGAACACGAGAAAAATCAATAACGAAAATAGTATTGATATTTATGATCATGATAACACTACTACTAATGGTGAAAGTGATATCAGTGATACTAATACTAATGATACTATTCATATTGGTGGTAGTGATGATAATGATGATGATAATGACAACGTTGATGATAATAATGATGATAATGAAAATGATGATGATGATAATGATATTGATAATGATAATGACAATAATAATACTTCAATCAATGATACTGATAATGATAATAATGATAATATTGATAATGAGAATAATAATAACAATGATGATAACGATAATGATGATAGTGATAATGGTAACAATCATAATCATAATAACAACAACACAAATAATGATAATAGCAATGATAATGATAATAATAACAATAATAA